AAATCCAAAAGGTCGAATAACTCAATTTCCAATTTCCGCATATTCACATCCAGTTGCGGCGAATGGGTGCCCGAAAACAAGGCTTGCATATAAATGTTGGATATTTTGGCCAAGCACTCGTCCAATTTGTTGAGGGTAACATCATCTGGGCTGTGCGAAAGATTAACAGGTCCTGACAATTTTGGTGAGGGGCGATAATTTCCATAGTCCATGTCATCATCATCATTCAATGCACTGGCGGTCGATAAATAAACCACCGATAAAGTGACTGCAAATATAAACGATTTCGAGAAAGCCAACATTTTATTGCGTTTTATTTATTGCTTCTTCTTTTTTGCGATATACCGAAACGCCTGAATCGAAAAAACTGCGTTTTTATGATTTTTATTTAAATACAGAATTGAGCTATTCCCAGGGAAAACACTCAACCCATATGTTATGAATATTATGGCATATTGTGGAATTTGTCAGGGGTTTTATAGGGCACTGCTGATTTATGTTTTCTGCCTTATCAGCAAACAGTGGTTGGTGGCCGCCCATTCTAATGCTGTGGCATTTTTGTTTGTTTTTGAGCTTTCTAATCAAGCGTTAAGTAATCAAAAACACAAATGTAAAAAAGCTACAATATCAAGGTCATTTCCTTAATTGAAACCTACAAACATTCACAATTGTTTGCAATGGCGATTTTCACGATCAAAGTTAAGGCTGCTTCTCACTGTTTATTCCTATTTCCGTTTGGCAAATTACATTGGGTGCGATCGTGTTTGCCAATAAAATATTAATTTGTGTGGGAATTTTCGGTTGATTGTATTATGTATGTCTGGTAACCCCTCCTGGGAAAAATTTTCCCGCCACTTCTTTTTTAGAGAGTAGCCGTAAATAGTAAACAAACAGCATTTCTATAAACATATGCAAACAATCAGCTGATTTGTCAAAATACGCACACAAAAATGTTGTATTTTACTAAAAATTAAAAAATGAAATGGAAGAGAAGGAAGCATTGTCCAGCAAACTCTTTCTGAGAGTTTAAGGTTGTTTTAATGGCAAAACAATAGAGATTGTTTCATTTTCTAGATTGAATATGGCAACCCTTTTCCAAGGAATTCAATTTGTCATCCATTAAATAAAAATTATTTGCATATCTAAAATATTTACGTATGACGAGTGGCATATTTTACATAAATAAATAAAAATTATTTTGCATATCTAAAATGTTTACGTATGACGAGTGGCATATTTTACATAAATAATCGGCATTCATTTGGCACGAAAAAGCAGTTGTTTGTTCCATATCTCAGGAAGACGAATTTTATTTTATTTCTTACACTTAATCAAGGCACATCAGTGGATCGAATATGACAACCCTTTTCTGAAGTACTCGACCATGACATTTTTTAAATAAAAATTTATTTTGTAATCTGTATTATTTACCTATGACGAGTGGCATATTTTACAAAAATAATAAATAATCTCTTATTTTTGACGTTCCTAGGACGTAAGGATTAAAATCAAATAATAACTGGCTGAAAAATGTTGGCAAAATCTTCACAATGTTGGCAAAATCTTCACAATACCTATATGGATTCTGTATAAAACGGCATCTTATACTGCCACTTTAAAAAGCGTGGAATTTGTAAAATATTTGGTCGGAAACAAATCTAAATTTCTTGCCAACTGGAAGAACCATAAAATTTAAATTTGATCATTTTTGAACATCGATGAAAAAATTTCATTGGTATACAAGGCGTGAAAATGACAAAATTCATATGTTATGTCATGTACGTATTTCTGCATACATGGTATAAGAATACAGGTAGATATAAAATCTTTAAAATGTTTTTCCAAACTTAAGAAGATTTTTTTCTATGTTTTCTTATACGATGCCTATTAGAGGTTGTTATGATTTGTAATTTTGAAAATTTTTTACAAATTACAATAATTTTTCATTCAAAATTGGTTTGACAGTCCAGAAAGATGCATCAACGCTTGGTGACATTGATTTGTCACAATTTTTAAATTATTTTTCAAAAATAATTGGATGTGTATATGTTTTCTTATACGACGCTTATCAGAGGTTTTTAGATATTCTCATGGTAGAACTAAGAAGGTAAAGTCATGTGATCATATGTTAACAATTTTTTCAAATATTATTCATTTGACAACATCTCATTGTCAAAATCAATATTCATAAATCCATTATATACACAAAAAAAAAACAGAGATGGGAATTGTTTTTTATGCATTGAAATTTGACAAGGTAAATTACAGAAAATGCAGAGCTGAAATGAGATTACCTTCAATTCTTACAAACAATTCTTACAAATTTGAATAATTTTTCATTCAAAACAATTTTTACAAATTTGAATAAATTCTCATTCATAATTTTAATTTTCAAAATAGTATTTTTCTACAATGGAGATGACAATTTGCATCAAAACCCAGTAGGTTGATCCATTTATATGTAAACGTACTGTTAATTTCAACACAACGTTAGCGCGTGCAGTAATACTTATACCATGTCCATACGGCGTACATGCCAAAATGTAAATGTGTAATTGGCAACACTTTTTAATTAACCCAACCGTGCCATTTTTTATTTAAAACTTATTTTTATAGCCTCCATCATACAATGGAGGGTAAATTAAATTTGTCATTCCAGAAAGTATATATATTCTCGATCAGCATAAGATTCTATGTCGATTTTGCCAAGTCTGTCCGTCTGCGAAAAATACCTTAGCTTTCCGATAAAAAAAGTAGGTTGATAAAATTTCGCTGAGATGCGTTTTATGTCCCTAGAATTGTTGGTATTGAAAATGGGCCATATAGGTCTACATTTGTATATAGCCCCCATATAACTGTACCACAAGATTTAAGGTGTTTTGGCTGTTTTAGTCATATTTTTAAACAGAATTTGCTGTAACTTGGCCGTTTGTGTTTCCTATATGTAAGAAACAGCTTCGCAAAGAATTATCCATATAGATCCAAGTTATGGTATAGTCCCCATATAACTGTACCCCCTGATATTCGGTATTTTATTCATTTGTGCCACATTTTTCTCCGGAATTGTATCAAATTTGTGTATTTGAAGTTCGCAATGGGTACTACTTCCTATGACAGAAAATAGCCTGTGCAGATCCAAGTCTTCGTATAGCCCCCATATAATTGTACCTCCCATTATTCGGTATTTGGATGATTTTAGCTACATTTTTCAACAGAATTGTCTCAAATTTGGTATTTGGAGTTCGTAATAGTCAGGGCCCTAGCTGACAGATAATTGGCTGCAGAGGTCCACGTATTTGTATAGTCCATGATAATCGGAATTTTAAAAATTATAGCGGTATTTTTTCAATTATTTTATTTATTTTTTGAATTCTGCAAATTCCTTCCAAATGTTGGAGGTTATTAAAGTTTTGGGCTGGACGTATTTAGCTGCGTGTTTACTTAAAGTCACTTCAAATAAGCATATCCATCTCTGCATTTTCTGTAATTAACCTTGTCAAATTTCAGTGTACAAAAAACAGGTTCCCATCTCTGATTTCTGTGTAAATAATTTAAATTTTGACGAGATGTTGTCTAACGAATAATTTTGGAAAAAAATTGTAAACATATGACTGCATGACTTGACCTTCTTAATTCTACCATATCTAAAATATGTACGTATGGCGAGTGGCATATTTTACAAAAATAAAATATATCACAACTGTTATATGTTCCATATCTCAGGAAGACGAGTTTTTTTGCAAATATAAATTTGACATTAAGATTCGATTTTATTTAACGAATATGCATTGAAATTGACAGTTGAAATCCACACGATTTAGTATGTGTCAAAATCCTAAAATTCGGGTTTTCTTGCTAAGAACTTATTCTTCCGGGAAGGAAATGGTGGAAATTAAAAAAAATTGTTCGGAAATAATTGTAAATGTTTGCCAATTGTACGCCCATATCTAAGGAGGAACTACAAAATATAAATTTGACAATGAAGGAACATCAAATAAAAAAGTTGTAATCGTATTATTCCATTGCACATTGCATTTGTAATTCTACCATAAAAAAGTCAAACCACAAAATCTTTATATGCGTATGTTTTTTAATTAATTTTATTTATGTTATAACATATGTTTTACTTTTGACATTTTAAAACCACATGATTTCGTATGTGTAAACGTCCCTTTTATGGGGCTAATATGTGAGTTTTTTGCTAAGAATGTATTCTTCCGTGATAGGGGGTGTAGGAATGGTGGAATTTAAAAAAATATTGTTCGAAAATAAATACGCACTTCTTGCCAATTGTACGCCCATATCTAAGGAGGAACTACAAAATAGAAATTTGACAGTGAAGGCACATCAAATAAAAACATTGTAAGCGAACGATTGAACTGCATATTACCTTTTTAATTCTACCATAAAAAAAGACAAAACAAATAACGTTTATTTATGCATTTCTTGCCAGTTGTACGCCCATATCTAAGGAGGAACTATAAAAAATAAATTTGACAATCACGGAACATCAAATAAAAAAATTGTAATCGTATGATTGCATTGCATATTACCTTTGTAATTCTATCATCAAAGAACCAAAACAAAAAATGTTTATATATGTTTTTATATTAATTTTATTTATGTTACAACACATGTTTTTCTCTCTTCTTTTAAAAATCATAATGAATGAAACTCTCTTTCAAAACTTAATTAGAACATTATTTTAAAAACATTTCAGTGAACGAAAAACACACAAACGGTCGTTTTAACATTAAATGGCGATTGAATTAAATACTTAAATTTAACAAAAATAATAATAGTAATAATAAAAAAAAATACAATAATAATAAAAACTTAATTGCTTCAAAACGAATTAAAACATAACTAAAACACCCGCCCGGTTATGGAAGGCAGAATTTTTACAAAATTATGTACAAATCACAGAATGAAAATGAAAATAAGAGCTAAATACAATTTTTTGAAAATAATAATAGAAAAGTAGCGGTCGAAATAGCGTTTCAAAAAAATTTGATCGTATGAGTTTTACAAAAAAATGTTACTTAATCTAAAAACTTAAAAAATATGTATTAACAATTTGCTTTTGGTGGAAACGAACGAGTTTTACCATGGTCTCCACATGCTGTCTTGATCCTCACCCTCCAATTGGGCTTCTTTGTGATATTTTTTCGAGGCATGATCATCCTCAGAGCAAATGCTGGAATCGGCCGCCTCAGAAAAGGAACGTTTCAAGGAGCTATTGGCCGATCCAGAGCTGGTGTTCAAATCACTGGTGCTGCTAGACACCTGCTGCTGTTGCAAATGGGCTGCACTGAGTACAAAAGAGTTTTCAGCCGAGGAAGGTGGTGTGTTGAACACTCCCAAAAAACTATTGTGTTTATCCTGCTGATGATGACGTGGTGAGGTTGATCGGGAATTGGTGAAATCCGAGCTATTGTGCATCATTGAATCTTCATTGTGACTAGATACTGAAGAAATGGGACTGAGCGGAGGACTGGAGGAGTTGTGGAAAGCTGTTTGTGGCTGGGCTTGATTTAATGGTTGATAACTGGTGGCAGTGGTGGGGCCCAAATTGGTTTGGGGATACATATTGCCGGGATTTACTTTGGGTGGTGTAATCAAAGTCGATGGTGGCTTGGAGAAGGCACTCAAACGCTTGAAATTGGCGGCAAAATCATTAATTTGTGCTGAGCCAGCTTGGCTGCCAGTCTGTGAAGGCCAGGCGGGAAAACCACTGTTGGAATTGTTGTTCATTAGCGAGGTGGCTTGATTGTTGGAACTTCCGGTATTTGGCATTATCAGGGCAAATTCTCCGGATGGCAAGCGGGATGGTATCAATTGCACCCCACCCATTTGTATGGGCTGTGTGGAGTTAAAGTCTTGACTTAAGCTAGGAAACAAAGATGCTGCCGCACCACCATTTCCCATTGGCAGGGGAAGATTGTTGGAACCAAACAGATTGGCATGGCCCCCATTGCGTTGATAACCATTGTTGAAATTGGTCATGGCACCAATCTGATCAAGACTGGTCGCGCATTGATTCAAATGACTATTCAATCTTTGGCGTACAGTTTCATCGACACCATCCAATTGGCTGACATAACGATTTACTTCATCGGCACACTCAGCAAAGCCAGTCTTGAATTTGTGGATCACTGTGGGATCGGTTTGCAGAGCCATGTTGAGCTGTTGACGCTGAACGGATTGCAAGTGTTTGACGGTCATCTCAAGGATATCGGCTTTTTCAAGTTTTGTGTGACGTGCCGGCTAAAAATAGAAAGAAAAGAGAGAGAGAAATAAATTAGTGAGATTGTAGAAAATTATTTTATAAACTAAAAAGATGGCAACCCTGGTGTGGGGTGCAATAAATTCCCATAATAAATGCCGCCCATAAAGTTATACAAAAAACCCTTCATTAATTTTCCTTAAAGCCATTTCTTTGCCGAAAATGTTATTCCCAAAAGCTGGCAACCCTTTCTCGCCATGGTGAGAAATAAATTCCCATGTCTTTGTTCATTGCCGCCCATAAAGTTGTAGAAAAGCCCTTCATTAATTTGGCTTTGAATTTTTAAAATTTCACACATTTTTTTACTTTTATTTTCAGATCTGCCTGGGCCGTAGAAGAAAAAGGAGAGCAAAAGGAGTATTGATAATGTGGTGCTACAGGAGTCAGGGCTTAACACAGAGCTTCTAATTGATTGCAAGTCCCGTAGAAGAGGCAAAAAGAAAACAAAAAATCGCAAAAACAGCAACAACAATGGTTAAAATGAAATAAAAAGAAAAAAAATCACAACAACAAGGCATCTTTGCAGATTTGCAGTTGAGATGTTGTTTTCTTGGCAACAGACAGACACACAGACAGACAGAAAAAAACCTTGTAGTTTATGATCAAGACACGATTTTGAAACAAGAACACCAACAACAACAACAATCGCAGACGATGAGAATTAAAGGCTAAGGCTTTGTTGGGGATTTGTGAAAAAGAGTTAAGGCAGCCCAGCAGCCAGCGAAGGTGGGAACAAAATAAATAAACTTAGCCATCATTGGCTTGCCACAGATTTCATTCATTTCATGATCATGAGCTAAAGATAAATGGAAAGAGGACCAAAGGAAAGAAAAAAACATTGGCATTGGTTTATCAGGAAAGATTCTCTTTCGTTATTGTTGCTGTTGTTGTTGGCGGTGATTTTGCGCTCTTTATATTACGAAAAGTATTTTGAAAATGTTCCCACGCAGGTTTTTCGCAATTCTAAGCGGAATTCTTTTTTTGTGCAGATTTTGTATAGGGAACAGGTTTTTTTTGGGGGAATATTGGGTTGTGAATAGTTTAAAAAATACTTACGTCTTTTTTCATGGCTTCCAATATCAGGGACTTTAATTCATTGAGGCAATGATTGATACGGGCACGTCTACGTTTTTCCATTATGGGTTTGTTGGTCTGAAAAGGGAGTAGAAAAAACAAAAATATTAATAATTAGAATTACTAAAATGTACGAAAGTGGGAATTTTTTATTTTGAGATAATAGTATGTTCACATTGAGGATTTTTCTGGGGATAACTTCCTTTATGAGGACGTATTACAGTAGAGTTGGCAATTTCAATGCATTGGGTTTACTCAATCCCGTAAAATGTAAACGTGGATTAAAATTTTAAAATGCCTTTTCATTTTTAATATTTTTGTTTCTTTTTTTGAAAAATTTGGATTTTTTTGTTAAAACATGAAATTTATAAATTTTAGCAAGATTTTTTTTTAGAAATATTTTTTTTTTGATTTTTTTTTAAGAAATAATTTGATATTCTTGTTTGTATTTCAAAGGAATTTTATTTTTGGAAAATATTTCATATTTTTTAATTTTTTTTTCAAAATATTTCATTTTTTTTTTTGGAAAATATTTTTTTTTGTTGCAAAATGGTCAGGCTTTATCCCTATGTTTTTTATTTATTTTATTTTTTGGAAAATATTTTTTATTTATTTTATTTATTTTTTTTTTTTTCAAAATATTTCATATTTCATTTTTTTGCAAAATATTTTTTTTTATTTTATTTTTGGGAAAATATTTTTTATTTATTTTTTTTTTTTTTGAAAATATTTCTTTTTTTGAAAAATACAAATTTTAAAAAAATCCTCACCTTTCTCAATTCAGCTTTGGACAGGCCAGCTGGATTGGCCAAACGACCCTGGGATGTATTGAATTGTTGATTTTGCGACTGGCCGGAATTTGATTGCTGATAGTTGTCGCTGTAACTATCGAAGTCATCATCGGAGTGGACATCGTTTTTGTAATCCATTTTTGTTATAATTTTTATTTTATTTATATGATTTTAATATAAAATGTATCCACAATGTGAGGTAATAATCCAAGTGGGTAGGGTGGGTTGATGATCGATCAGCTGTTGCACTTTTATAAATCCATAGGGTTTATATTTATTTTATTTATTTTTTTTTGGTTAAAACACAACTCGGTTTGACTTTGGTTTTTGTTGAGAAAGTTTCTTTTTGAAATAAATTGCACAAGATTTTTTTTGTTAAAATAAAAATTATTTTTAAGAGTCTTCGTATTTTTTTCTAATTTGTTTTTTTTAGGATTTTTATTTTCGAAAAAATCCGAAGATTCCGCGTAATGCGTTCGTTGTGAACTCCTGAAGGATACTGATCCTTAGTTGTTGAAACGCCACGTTAAGTCGCAACCAGACGAAGGCAAACATCACCATCGTCCTTTGACTAAGAACAAACATGACTGTGTGTGTTTGCATGCATGCATTCTTGTGTGTGTGAACTACATATAGGGGAGTTTTTGGTTTTGAACAGACACAACACACAGAGTTTTTCCCACGTTCAACATAAGGTAATTTTGTTTGTTGTTGTTCGTTCGTTTTGTTTTTGTATTTACCTGTGCCCTTTCAAGATAGCTCAAATTTCCTTAATAAAATTTCTCTCTCTCTCTCTCTCGCACACAGTTAGTCTCTCAATGGAATATCTTAAAGATAATGCTCTTGTATGCTCATGAGATATTCCTTACTTATCTGTCATGAGTGAGTGTCTTTTACCGTTAAGAGATTATCTTTACTCAATTGTTTTCTTGGTTTATCTTCAAGATGATGAGCAAGATCTTGCAAGGAGTAATTTCTGAGATTATCTCTTTATTTTTGTTACTCTTGCATTTTTACTCAAGGATCTTGATTTCAGGCAATATTTTATATTTGATTAAAAAATTATATTTTTGATACCACACAACCGATTCCCTCCTCGTTTGGCTACAAAATGTCAAATGCCTTTGCATCGTTTTTTTGGGGAATATCATCACACTTGTTTTTTTCTCAATTTAAATTAACCCTCATAATAAAGTTAACATCAAATGATATTTATGTGTGCATGTAAAACCGCCCATAGCTGACATATCATTTATATGCCACTTCATATGTCTGCCATCGAGTGGGGGATATTTAAATATCTGTCCAACTAAAAAATATGAACCCGGTAGTGATTATTTAAATCAATTATAATTTTTTTAGTTTAATTTAGTACAACAAAAAAAGAAAATGTCAAATGGAAGAGAGATGAATTTTATATTGAAAGAGTATGGCATCATAAAAGAAGAGAGAAAAAGGGGCCATATTGTGTGAGAACCTTTGGAGTTGCCATTGCATTTATTTTTGGGTTATAAACATGTTTTATTGGTATTTAATGCTTTACTAATGGGGGGAATATTTCCATATGTAGACGATGCACATATCGTGTGATACATGGACTACATTTAAGTTGTCAAATTCATGATTAAAGTACTTTTTCGATCACAATATTATTTGTTTTTGCCACAATGGTACAATTACCAAGGTAATCTCATGCTATCATACGATTACAATTTTTTCTATTTTTTGTCCCTTCATTGTCAAATGTATATTTTGTAGTTCTTTCTTAAGTCTGTTCGTACCGCTGGTAATAAATTTAAATTTATTTTCGAACAAATATTTTTGTTTAATTTTCACGCCTTTTTGAGGGCATAAAAGTCAAAGAAAGATATATATTAAATTAGCAAACTAAAATATTAGTCTGATAAGTCGTGTAAAATTTAATTATGGAATGGTTGAATTCGGGTTCGCTTAGGAAAAGTATGAAGACAATATTACGACAATATTTACAATATTAAGAAATTGCGGATGCTTCTCCGCCGTTTTTTTTTTTTTTTTCAAAAAACCTATATTTGGATTTAGGTTATCAGAAATTTTTATGAGTATAGTTAGTTGGTTCAGTAGTTGTCTAGATAGTAATTCAGTCAGTTAAAAATTTACATAAATTTCGATACTTACAAATAGTTTGGGTATTTGTAATTCTACTGCACAAAATCATCGAAGGTATGCAATTTTTAGCTTGAAGTTTTTTTGAAGGATCGTATTCACGTCCTTGTCGTTGCTGTTGTATTTTAAATAATAAATATCTGAAATATAATACGTACACGTTTTTCCATTTTATTTTTAATAAGGACTTACTTTTGATTATCGTCACTGGAAAGCAGTTTGAATAAATAATTTTCGAACTATACCTGTAAGAATTGTGCGAATAGGTTATCAGAGATTTATATGAGCATTTATAGTTAGTTGGTTAAGTAGTTAACTTGATAGTTCATCAGTCAGTTAAGAAATGATTTAATTCTCTTTACTTACAATATGTTGGGGTATTGTCTAATTCTACTGCAGAAAATCGTCGAATGCATGCAAATCCTTTATTTCACGGAACGGGGAACAATTGAGTGCATCTCCTATTATGTCCCATCATTCTGCTCCTTTTCATTTATCTTTTTCTATTTTATTTATTTGCAGAATTAACATAAAATTATCAGATTCTTGTAAGCTTCGAAACACAGCAATAATTATTAATATTAGATTTTTCAAATTACACAATTCTTAAAATTTAACATATTTTGTATTTTTTAATCCATTTTGCTTACAAATCCCTTGATCTTCGGATTCTGTTTTGGCATTAAAACCATGTGGATATTTATTTGTTGCTATAATCCCCTAGTTAACACCTAATACTTTCTAAGTATCTCGAAGACACTTGACTTTGTATAAACAAAACCAAAAAGATTCTTGATCCTGTATAAACATTATTTTATTGCAATTAGCTAGTCTAGACAAAGAAAAACTTAAGACAGAGGCTTAAATATGGACTTCTTTTCACATTTTTATGAAACTATTTTTAAACCATTGACACCATGAAAACAAGGAAGGAAATGTTTTACAAAGTTGCTACAAAGACTTTTTTTTTGACATTTTGGTAATAAATTAAAAAATCGGAAAAATGAATGAAAAATCAAGGTTTATTTTAAACCAACTTTTTTGTATGTTTCTAGATTTATTTCGTCTCAAAACGGCTTCCAATCAATATTCTCGCAATATTATGGATAGCTGTAAGGATAAAGATTAAACAAGACAACATTTTCTTGGAATTAATTAAGAACTGAAGTTATTCAGCTCTGTGAAATTGTTTTAATAGCCCATTTACAATTAACTGGATTTAGTAAACCCAGTGGATTTAGTTTGTCAATTCCATTGCATACTGCTGGGACAATGAACTGCCAAACCAATTTTAGAATTGAAAATTTTTAATGGAAATTTTTTTCAGATTTGTAAAAATTTAAAAAAAATCATATCATAACAACCTCCTAACATTACTTTCAAAATCAGTAAAAATCTGAAAACATGAACAAATTTATTAAATTTAACATATTTGCATTTAAAGTTATTTAAATTGTTTTGAAAAATGTAAAATCTCTCTTCCCAAAAGACGGCAAAAATGTTTATCATCGATAATTGTTCTTTCCGATTTAGTAAACCGAGAGGATTTAAATTGTCAATTCCATTGCATATGCGCCAATAAATCTTCATAAAAGAGATTAACCCGACAAAAAGCTCCAATGTAAACATGCCAAATAATATATTTTTATTTTGAAATCAGTAAAAACCTGAAAATATAAATAAATTGAAATAGTCCCCTTCATGAAGATTTAACATATTTGCATTTAAAGTTATTTAAAATTATTTTAAAATTTTATTTTATTTTAAAATTGAAAAATCTCCCATCCCAAAATACGGCAAACATTTTTTTTGCATCAATAATTTTTCTTTACGACATTTTCAAAAATCACTACAGCTGCCTTTATTCCAAAGATAGCGTATGCCAATCTAAGAAACTGAACGATCCAATTCATTAGTGTCGCCGGATCAAAATCGGCCATAAAGAATAACAATTAAAAGATTTATCATACTGGTGGCGAGAAAAATTCCAAAATAAATAAATGATGGAGAGTAGGCAAGGGCAAGGGGAGGGTATTTATGTTGGTGGGTTAAGAAATTTGGCACAGCCGGCTTTTTTCCATATCATCTTTTGCCATTTGATTACTTCTTAAAGTTTTTTTTTTCGAAAGACAGCAGCTGTTTATGGCTGGTCATCTTCGGTTGTGTTTATTCGTTGTTCATTGGCCCGTGGCTAATAAATTGAGGGTTGTTTTTTTGTTGATCCTTGGAAAGTTCAGCCGCTGATTTTCATTTTTGGGCGATCATCCAAAAAGAGGGTGGTGGTTGTGCTGATGAGGATGAAGATGGTTGCGCATGCCAAGAAAGTTTTTCTTACCTGGTCATGAGATTTTCTTTTATTTTTTGCAACACGCGTCTATATTTATGGCATGTGTGAGTGGCTCTGGAAATATCAATTTTATTACTTTACAACCAATCACAAGAAAAAAAAAAGATTAGAATTAATGTGTGCTCGTGAGTCCGAAATCAATAAATTTTCCTTAAAGAAAACTGCCTTACAAGGCAGATGTTTAGTTTACTTTACTATTTCAAAACTTCAAGCAGTTGCCTTGTATTGTAAAGAGATTTTGTGGTTTTTAATGGGAAGGCGTTTGTTTGGCAAGTACACTTTTACACTTTGGGAAAGTTGGCAACATTGTTTTTGGTATTTCGTTTCGTTTTGCTTAAGAGAACCAATGCCGTACGGCTGAAAAGAGAGTGGGTAACAATGGCTCTCTTGTAAAAATCAAAACAGCAAATATCATAATGGGAGATACCGTTAGACTCGAATTTGATAGCGAGCCTCTAGGAATGACATTCATTTCCTCATTGACGACTGCAATAGAAAAGTGTGGCAGCAGATTAATTTGACTAACGTTGCTTTTATGGAATAGCTGTTAAAAAGGGTTGTTAGCGAGTGGTTTGTAATAAACTAAAATAAATTTGTATGTATTTTTTAGTAGAAAAGGAGAAAATCGTTGACCTATGAGTGTACTGTAAAGAGAAGAATGAAAAAGGAGACATTTACCGGTACTCAAAGGAAGACTAGTAAAGAATATCGA